AATCTAAGCAACCTCCATACACCTGAAAAAGGTCCACTTTTTCTAAAAAAGAACCCCCCACACACACACACACACACACACACAAAATCCTGGCTACGCCTATACCTCAAGGGACGGCTCTCAATGTCCCAAGACAAAACCAGACTAGGACAAGAGACACAACAGCAAACTGACAGGGCAGACAAAAGGACAAAAACAAACTGACAAAGCAGGCCTGGGAGCAGATCAACAACTTATCCTGAGGAGGTGCAGCAGCCAGCATGGAGGCTGTCAGAGGCTCTTGACATTGGACACGGACCTTCGGCTAAAGCAGGTGAAGAGGTCAGATTGATTAGTCAGGCCCTGAAAGTGACTAGACGTTTATTAATAAAACTTTTTCCTGCTTGCAGTACTCAAGGCAGAAAAAATATGTTTCACTGAAAAAGTCACTCTATAACACTGACAGAGATTGGGGAAAAAAAAACACTGCCAGACAGCCTGGGGCATATAAAACACAAATCAGTGTGTCCTGATCCCTACCCAAGCAGGGATGAAAACTATTTCTTTATTTTTTTAATAAACGGCCATATTTATGAAACGTTTACATTAACTTGACCTCACTACATTTACATTTCAGATATCTGGAATTGCATTATGACTAGACATATTAGTTATTTCAGATATCTCCATTTATAGTTTGACTAGGCAAAATACCTATTTAAGATATTTGTAATTAAATTCTGACCAGTATAAATGATGTCAGATACTATTAAGTTGTATGGAGGCTCCAAATCAAGATATCTCAAATTACATCATTATACTAGAGATCTTCAATGTGTTTTTAGATATAATGTAAGACTCAACTATACTAGTAATTTACTGCTGTCCATCATCGTTGTGTGTTCAAAAGCCCTGACTGATACCTTCATGGTTCTTCATGTTTNTGGCTTCACAGTTAGCCTAACAAATAAGCAACCACGTTTTACAAAGCTACAGGCTTTTGGGAAGGAAAAGGCCTCAGATAGGCGTTTTCCTTAGAATGCTGTTTAATTTTTATGTTTGAATTAATAGGTGAGGCCTTGCTTTCACACTTTAAGGTGTTTTTTTTATTTAATAGAAGGTTTATATATTATTTCTTTATAAAAGATATAAATACTATGTTTTCCCAACTTCTTCAC